AAAGGCGAGCGCCCGATTGAAGGCGCTCGCCTGGGCACCTTGCGAGGTGCACCTGGGCGAAAACGCCTCGCCTCTCGCCTGAGGCGAGCGCCCAGGTGCGCCTCGAAAACACTGTATATACTGTAAAGTATAAAGCAGATGGAACACTCGAGAGGTACAAAGCACGGATTACCTTGAAACCTTTGCACCTGTTGCCAAGATGAACACAGTACGAATACTTCTATCTCTTGCTGTAAATCATGGATGAGACATGTTACAATATGATGTAAAAAATGCTTTTCTACATAGTGATCTTGAAGAAGAAATTTATATGGAGATTCCACCAGGGTATTAGCAAGCAGGAAATAAAGTTCGTAAATTAAAAAAGGCGTTGTATGGATTAAAGCAATCTCCAGGGGCATGGTTTGGTAGATTTTCTCAAGTTATGAAGAAGATGGACTATAAACAAAGTCAAAGAGATCATACATTGTTTATAAAACATTCTGCTATAAGGGAAGTAACAGCATTGATTGTTTATGTGGACAATATTAATATTATCGTCACTGGCAATGATAATAATGATCCAGATAAACTGAGAAATTGTTTAATCAAGAGTTTGAAGTTAAAGAACTGGGAAGACTGAAATATTTTCTTGGGATAGAAGTAGCCTATTCTAAACAAGGTATATTCTTATCACAATAGAAATATGTGATTGACTTACTTTCTGAAACAGGAAAGCTTGGCAGCAGACCAGTAGGAACGCCAATTGATCAAAACCATAGATTATGTGCATCTGAAGAGAGTCCTCCAGTAAATAAGGAAACTTATTAGAGGTTAGTTAGAAAATTAATATATCTTTCTCATACAAGACTAGATATTGCGTATATTGTAGTAGTGGTAAGTCAATTTATGCATAGTCCAAAAGAAATTCATCTTCAAGCTGTGTACCGAATACTCCACTATTTGAAGAACTCCATTGGGAGAGGATTGTTGTTTAAGAAAGGCGAGAAACTCAATCTAGAAGTTTATACRGATGCARATTATGCAGGATCGATAGAYGATWGAAAATCCACTTCTGGCTATTGTAMTTTCTTAGGTGGGAACTTAGTGACATGGAGAAGTAAAAAACAAAATGTAGTTGCAAGATCAAGTTCAGAAGCGGAATTTAGAGCAATGGCATTGGGCATCTGCAAATTACTGTGGATAAAGATTATTTTAGAAGATTTGAAGATTCCATGGGGAGAGCCTATGAAACTTTATTGTGATAACAAGTCTGCCATCAGTATTGCACATAATCCGGTTCAACATGATAGAACCAAACATGTTGAAGTTGATAGACACTTCATAAAAGAGAAGTTAGATAGCGGCCTCATATGTACTCCATTACCAACAAACAATCAAATCGGAGATATTCTTACAAAAGGGTTGAACAACAACAACTTTGAGCATTTGGTTAACAAGCTGGGAATGAAAAATATTCCTTCACCAGCTTGAGGGGAGTGTTAAATTATAGTTTATTTTATTTTAAAGGTTTCCTATTTTATTTAGGTTAGGGTTTTATTGTTCTAATATGTAAGTATTTCCTTATCCTAATAGGCAAAAATTTCTTTTTAGTTTCTTCTTTGTGACTGCTATTTATATAGTCTTGTATCAATCATTTGTGATAATTGAGGAAGAATTATTTTCTTTTCTTATCAATTAACACTAATGATGTCAGGACACAAGACATTTTCTATATACTACAATTTTAATTAAAAAATTAATTATAAATTCTTTATCAATCTAGTAGTAAGTAAATCGAAACTGCATAACTTTGGAAAATCTTTATGGCTTTTCAAAATAACGTGTCATACTGTTAATATTACTAAATTACATTAACTAAATCTTGGGTTTACCTTAAAAATAAAGAGAGAAAAAAATGGAATCTGGTCCTTGAGATGGTGCCTTATTTATCTTCCTTTCTTGAAGTTATATTTTCCTCTCATATTTGTATTTGTTTACTAGGCTCGCCTTAAACTGCACTGCCCAGAGGCTTCCCTGTGTGTGATCACTTTGCTTTGTACTTTCTGATTCTCTTTGTAGGATGAATGTTTTGACGCCATCTGTATTATCTTGTGTAGTTCATTCACAATCATGGTGTAAATATTGGCAAGCAGAAGAGTGATTTGGAAGGGATACGCGTGAAGTTTCTAATACTTATCTTGAGCTTGGTTCAAGAACTTCAATTAGTTCAGGAGAAAGCTACTGACCACAACTACAAATGTGAAACTAAGGATGAGTATACCTTGTGTCAGCCAAGTGACGATTTGAATTATGCAGTACCGACTACTTTTATCAAAAAATTTGTCAACCTTTTTTCATCTCTACTGGTATTGGAAATTAATTTCACGTATCTCAAAGGTATTCCTTTTATGGAGGAAAAGCTACTAATTTCTTCACGGATGGTATTTGTTGGCTTACAGGAAGAGTTGGTTTCTTTTGCTACTGCGTCTTGTTCCATATTCTGGTCCAACGTCAAGTCGGATGAGACAGGACTACCAAGTTCTGTGAAAGGGAAACTTGGAGGCCCCAGTCAACGCCGCTTACCATCCTATACTGCTACTTTGGTTCTGCTAGCTGTATGATCTTCAATGCTCTCTAGCTCTCTTGCGTCATGGGTTTGGTCCTTTTATACATGTGGCTATCAGAATCTAATAAATAAGAATACAGGGTTTATAGTTACGGACATGCAGTTACTTGATTATTGAGTTTATGACATTTCCACTTAGGTAGACTTTCTTTTTTGGTTGGTCAAGAAGCAACTTCTCATTGACTAGGAGAAAAATTTAAGGATACAAACTCTCGATAAAGCCACCCTAAATTTCGTTATCTTTTAGTTTATTTTCCAATCCAAAACAAAAGATATCACATCTATTTTCCTTTATGCATTTTAGAATTTTCAATACCTTGACAAAAAGGTTTCCTTCCCCGCTTTCCCCTCTCAACCCTTTGCTCCAATTAGATCAAAATAAAGGAATTTAGTGTAGTGCAATGGAGAAGTTGGTTGGTGGCTATCTCTATTTAACACTATTAAAATGTTGTGCAATATAATTTGTCTTTATCGTTGCTTCATTCCCGACCATTATTTTTTGGGAGAGTGATAATTGCTTCTTAATTTACTAATTTTGAAATTTGTTACTCTATTGGTGAATATTTCTACCCTTCCTTTGTATGAATGGACAGGTCACATCGATGAAGGCTATTGCATTTGTCTTGTCATGTTGCAGACAGTTTAAAATCATTGGTTCACAGAATTTTGGAGTTGAATTCTTATTGAAGTTTTTGTTGAAGACTGTTTCATCTCCAGCTTATCGCTCAGAGGTATAAAGATATTTCCATGGTTTCTTTTTCTTTTTAACAAGAAAGAACTTTTCACTGATATGTGAAAAGGAAAAATGTTCAAGATACAAATCTCCAAAGAGGTGAAAAAAAAGAGAGAAGAAGAGAAAAATAAAGAAGAATTAACACAACAAGAGCAATACAAGCTCAATACAAGCTCAAAGAAGATAAAAAGCATTCTAAACTAGAACTTAGAAAAATTGCTCTAGCTTGGAGAACCAAACCAATTTTAGAGCTAACAACCGCATAAGGAAAAAAACCTTCCTTAGCACCATAAGCAAAGTCCAAACTCCAAAAAGAACCAAGTAGAAGCTAGGGACACAAGAACTAAACTGCAACTGAAATGCTAACAAGAAGTAATCGTAAAAAACTAAGCCTCAATGCGGTCTTCAAAAAACCTCAAAAAATAAACCACCATATGCCAATGGCAAGCTGAAAAGAATCTTTGAAAACCTTACCAGCCAGCCAACCAACCAAATTAAATTGCAAAGCATCGAAAACTGCAAAAGGCATAAAAGAGAACATTCAAACTTTCCGACCAACTTAAAACTCGAAGGACGGACTCAAATGAGATGAGAGTAATCCCCATTTCTTCAAAAAGGAAGGAATGATTGTTTGCTGTGGAAGATCTGACTTCTCATCTTTTTTTTGCTCATTAAATAAAATTTTAAAATCTTCCTCGATTGCTAAAAAATATCCTCAATAGGGATAATCAGAGGTTTCCCTATGAGAGGAATTTAATTTACTTTTTGCAGAGGATAATCACTCTTCTGCAATAAATAGATTCCATTCCTTCTCCTCCTCGGGAGCAGACTTTGGGAGTCGAAAAAGCTTCTTGCGCAGAAAATCAAAAGTTTTCTAAATTTTTTGAAGATTTTTGCCTTACCCTAGATCCAATCACTGATTAGGTAGGCTTTTATTATGAGCATCAGGTTGTTGGTTGGTTCCGCTTCACAACAGTTTTGAGGGTTGAGTTTTTTTTGCTTTTGTGCCTTCTCTTGGTGGAGGGAGGTTTCAGTTTCTTCTCTTTTGGCAATTAGCTTGTGTTAAGTGATGGTTTTGGATTCCTCCTCAACAGTCCGTCCTTTGTTTTGACGAGCTTTCTTGTAATCAGTGTTCAACTTCTGTTCTTGGGCTTCGGTTCTCATATTTTTATGGGTTTTTGTTTTCTATGTGCTGTTTTTTTTGTCCTTTTTCCTTTTTCGCTTCCTTTGGGAGCTTGTATCCTTTGAACTTTTTTCTTCATTTTCATATTATCAATGAAAAGTTTGTTTCTTGTTCAAAAAAAAAAAATAAGTGATGTTGGACTTTGGGGAAGAGTCCAAACTACTAAATACTAATTGCTCCATTGTCATCTTCAAAATCATTATCGTGACAAGTTCCGTTCCCATCCCTGACTTGCATAAGGAACCTCGAATGCAGTGGGAAGTGTAGCAACTCAACCAATGGCTTCTCAAGCCACTGGGAACTTAAAAAGGAATCTGAACATTATTCATAGTCTTTAATGAAAAAACAATAATTGTCACACCAAATCCAATAGTAATTGTTTGCAACACTGCAACTTCTCAAGTCCATATCCAAACCTGAATGAAAAAACTTAGTCCAACGGAGGAAGATAGAACCCTAGGATGAAGAACAAAACTGAAAGAGCCAAAAGGAACAAACAGATCCAAAACTACCTCGATGGCGAGAAAAAGGCCGGCGATGGGAAATAAATGTTGAAATTGGAGGGAAAAAATACGTTAGACGGCGGCGGTTGTAGAAAGCGTCATCGACAGGTGGCAAAAAAGGTGATGGACGATGACGACAAAGTTAGGGTTAGGGTTCGATGAGGTTTTGGGTTAGGGTCGCGACTGGAAGAGACATAGGCGGAGATGGTTTTTTCTTTTTCTTTAAAAGACTAAATATTTTCTAATTTATGTTAGGATGGATTTTTTATTTTTTAACGAGAAACTATGTGTTCATTGAGAATAAATGAAAGAATATATAAAGATCATACAAAAAAACAAGCCCAACAAAGGGATCCATCCGTGTAAGAACAGACCCAATCCAAAAATATGACACCTAATTTGATACTTACCAAAAGCCTTAGAAACTGATACCCAAATAGAGATATTAAATCTAACCCGCTCCTAAAGATATTTCCATGGTTTTTGCTTTTTCTGAAGACGCTCAATATTTTCCAATTGATTTTATGATGAATTTCTTATTTTTTATTTTTATAAGAAAGCATGCTTTCATTTAGAATAAATGAATGAATATACAAGGAGCATACAAAAAACAAGGCGGACAAAAGGGATCCATCCACCTATTAAGTACAAGTACAATCTAAAAGAATAACACCTAACTGGTAATTACAAAAAGCCTTAGAAATCGATACCCAAAGAGAGGTATTAAATCTAATCAGCTCCTAAATTTATCCCAAAACCTCTTAACTCCCTAAAAAATTCTATTATTCCTCTAAATTCAAATACCCCACAAAATGACAAAAAAGAAAACAAGCCTGCCATAGTAGGATCCCTCTATCCCGAAAAGGGGAGAACAACAACACCTCTTCCAATATCGCCCTTCAACCCTTATTACCAGCCTTTCAACCCCAGAAACCTCTAGGAACTTATTACGAATATGTTGGGCAAATTGACAACTCCACAAGATATGATTAACGTTCTCAAAAGCATTTTTGCAAAGGACACACCACTGAGGGCTCGACACAAAAGAATGTATTTTAATACAGTCCATGGCATTAAATTTCCCATGCAAAACTTGCCCGACAAAGAACTTAATCCTCGGAAGGAGAACAACGAGGCATTAATGGGGAATGACGGAACACTCAAAAGATGAAAGAAAGAACTACAAGTGAAATCCAACAATGGGTTTGGGGCCTGTTAGAGTATATATTAGTATATTTTATATTTTTGTATTAATATTAATTTGTCCTTTGTCCTTTACCTTCTCCTTCTAGGATTAGGTCAACCTTGTATATTTGTCTATATATAGACTTCAGTAATGAGAATGAGAACTAATCTGGTTCTCTCAAACCTTAGTTTCTACATGGTATCAGAGCTCTAAGTTTCTTCTAAAATTTTTGTGCCCATTAAGGTTTTGATGCCCATTAGGGTTTTGTGCCCATTAGGGTTTTGTCCCTTAGGGTTTTGTTCATTGCCATCCAACTCAACTTACTACTACCGCTGTCGCTGCCGACTGCCACCGACCGCCGCCGCTGGCTTTATTCACCATTGGCCTTTGCATCAGCTTGATATTAAAAATGCATTTCTCTATGGTGATCTCAAAGAAGAAGTGTATATAGAGCAACCACCAGGTTTTGTTGCTTAGGGGGAGAATGGAAAGGTATGTCGCCTTCGTAAATTCTTATATGGGTTGAAACAAAGTCCGCGAGCATGGTTTGGAAAATTCAGTCAGGTGATTGAGAATTTTGGAATGAAGAAGAGTAAGTCAGATCATTCTGTTTTTTTATAAAAGATCTGAGTTTGGTGTTATCTTACTAGTTGTATATGTTGATGATATTGTGATTACTGGTAATGATTCATCAGACATCCTATCTCTCAAGTCTTTTCTTCATAGTCAATTTCATACTAAAGATTTGGGAATGTTGAAATATTTCTTAGGAATTGAAGTAACAAGGAGCAAGAAGGGGATCCTTTTGTCACAAAGAAAGTATGTACTTGACTTGTTAACTGAAACAGGAAAATTAGCTACTAAGCCATGTAGCACTCCAATGATGCCTAATTTACAACTTACAAAAGAAAGGAAGTTGTTGAAAGATCCTGAGAAGTATAGGAGGTTAGTAGGAAGCTGAATTACCTTACAGTTACTAGGCCTGACATAGCTTATCCAGTCAGTATTATGAGTTAGTTTATGAGTTCTCCTATGACTGACCATTGGGCCGCATTGGCACGTATTCTATGTTATTTGAAAGGTGCTCCTGGACGTGGTCTATTATATAAAGATCATGGTCATCTTAATATTGAATGTTTTTCAGATGCTGATTGGGCAGGTTCTAAGGAAGATAGGAGATCAACTTCGGGATATTGTGTATTTGTTGGAGGTAATTTAGTTTCTTGGAAAAGTAAGAAACAAAATGTGGTGTCACGTTCAAGTGCTGAATCAGAATATCGAGCCATGGCACAGTCGGTGTGTGAATTAGTATGGATATTTAAGCTTCTGACTGAATTGGGATTTGACATCACCACTCCAATGAAACTTTGGTGTGATAATCAAACAGCTCTCCATATTGCATCTAATCCAGTATTTCATGAACGAACCAAACACATTGAAGTTGATTGTCATGTACATGAGAAAATATAGAAGGATTGGTGGCTACAGGATATGTGAAGACTGGAGAGCAGTTAGGAGATATCTTCGCTAAAGCATTAACTGGAGCACGGATAGATTATCTCTCTAACATGTTGGGCATGATTAACATATATGCATCAACTTGAGGGGGAGTGTTAGAGTATATATTAGTATATTTTATATTCTTGTATATTTTATATCCTTTACCTTCTCCTCCTAGGATTAGGTCAACCTTGTATATTTGTCTATATATAGACTTCAGTAACGAGAATGAGAACTAATCTGGTTCTCTCAAACCTTAGTTTCTACAGGGCCTAAGAACGAATGTCTTTCTACCCTGCATGAAATGGACAACCCATATCAAAACAAGAAAATCAGCAACCTTCATGCATCCCTAACTATCAAAGATTGACAGAGATCTTGGTAAGGATTGTTGAGGCGCTCCAAAATAATAACTGATTTGCTAAATCTAACTTATAAATGTAGTGAAACCAGGTCGAATCCTGGGGGAACCAATAAATTAAAATTTCAAAGTTTTATAAAATGGGAAGTTTTGAATTTGAATTTCGAAATTTAAATAATAAACTAAAAAGAATATGAAAGTCAGTCTTACCAAAATATCAATCTAAAGGTGTGATTTTCATCCGATTGTAATCTTGATTATACAC